CCCTCCTCTTATCTCGCGAGACGCTCCTTTGCCTCGCGAGATGCTTCCCTTGTTTCGCGAAACCCTCCTTTTATCTCGCGAGACGCTCCTTTGCCTCGCGAGATGCTTCCCTTGCCTCGCGAAACACTCCTCTACCTCGCGAGGTGCTTCGCTACTTAGCTTTATATGCGATCAAAATTTATACAATATATAAATTGCATCTATGCATACAAGACAATATTTTCAAAAATTTGACTTACACCACTATGGCTTTTACCCGTCCATATGTAACATTATTTATAAGAAAGTTATATTGTAATAAGGAATTATAAGGAAACGTGTAATAAATTTGAAATTGTATGATACTAATGCCGGATATATTATACGAAATCAACATAAGACGATTTCTTAATAGATAATAACGGTGTTTATTCTTTATCTATAGAATTTCACATTTTAAAAATTATCGTTAATTATTATAAATTTCACGTAAATGTGAAGGTTTGAATCAACGCTCAAATAATAGCTTCTTGCTTGCAAAATTTGACATTTATCTGAAAATTAAAATTATAAAATTACGATTATATTTTTCAAAATTATGAGATACAAAGTTCGTAATAATTTTGAAGAATGTAATCTTAATTTTGTAATTTTAATTATCGTAATTCGTTATTAATTGGAATACGCAAGATGGAAGCGCGGCCGCCGCGGCCAGAATATCCCCTCCAGCTGGCTAGTTCGGCTTCGGCACGAACCTAGCACGGACGCAAACCATGTGCGGTTACCGAGCGATACGACGTAGTTGAGTTGCATTTTCTCAGGCGGCGCGTCGGAAAATGCAACACAGCAACACACGAAAAAGGCCGGGATGGCCTCTCTCAGGTTTCTCTCTGGTAACGCACATATGCGCGCATTTATTTATATAGTATACGTAACGTTTATTATAGAAAATGCGCGCATATGCGGAATGTGGCCTCTTTCTAACGATGTTGAATAGAAATACATGATCGATCCCTTGAAATAAGAATAGGCCCTATGGCTCTACTCTCTGGTTTCAGCTTCACCAATAGGAAACAACGACTTAAAGCCATGGGAAGTTTAAATTATTATCGATAAATATATTTACAATATACTTAAATAATAAGTTTATTAGAGAAAATATCTCCTATTGAATGTCGAATAATTCTAGATTTATCGAAAAAAAGGTTTCAACTTTTTTGTTCGCAATGATAAACTTAATTACTGGCTTAAATTTAATAAAACTGGCTCAAATTTGATAGAGAAAGAGCGGCAAAAAATATTTCTCATTATGCATTATCACATACCTTGCTACAAAAATATTGCATACGCGATTTACCTTGACGTCTGTAAATTTTATGATGACATATTTTATCTACTATATTTGTTAATAAATAAATATATATATATATATATATATATATATATATATATATATATTAATACAGTTAAAACATTGTAATAACAGGACAAACCCTATATATAATCATAATCGCAATTTTTATTACAGCACAGAATCTGACAAGAATATTATTTTATCACTTATTCTATAATTATTTTCGATTAATTTCAGAGTAGCGTTAAATATTATGTTTATGTTATAACTCAAGGGGCACACCAGGATAACGAGTCTGAAAAATCAGTTTTTTTTATTTTATCTGAAAATTTAACTAAAGAATATATTTCTAGTTTTATTTCGGTTTGAAAAAATTAAGATTTTTATTAACTCTTTTTTCTAATTTATTGTTTAAAATGTGTACTTTTATTTCATATCAAATTAAAGTTTTAAAGTAAATTATTAACCGCACAACTACATACTAAGGATCGATAACCCAAGGGCCTGGTGGGTCCCTTAATATAATGTTATGTAGCAATATTATTTATTACATTAATTGTTGAGCTGCGTTTAGCTAAAAAATATATATGTACGATACATATATAATATCTATGTAGAATAGATCTAAGATATGTCACTCATCGTTATAACTGGCCAAAAAGTACATAAAAAACTTAGTACATAATTGTATTCTACACATTAATTTATGTATATATATAATACAGTTATACAAGACATTTTATTATATAATTATTATAAATATCGTTTTACGAAAATACATTTCATTTACGGATTCCATATATTACAATTACAGTTACAGTATTTTCATTATTACTATACATTCGCGTGTACTTCAGTAATAAAAATGCATATCATCGTAACGTTATAACATTGCCTTATCTTATCATTTAAATATTTTGTTGTGCAAATTTAACAAGTTAGATAAAATATTCAGTAATTTTTGTATTTTTAATATTGCACTAACAGTCATATAGCCAAGAAAAGATTGTAAAATATAGCCAAAAGAGTGTAAAATGTATAAAGACCAATTAAAACATTTTATATAAATTAATAATATATGAGAGAAAAATATATAATAACACATCATAAAGTGATATAGATCATAAATTTAGATTATAATTTTAATGTTATTGCGACATTTTTGTTGCTAAATTAACATTAAAACATAGAAAGGCAGTGTGAAAGTTAACTTAATTTTTACGTAGTTTAACTGACGCTAAAGATAAAATCTCAGATGTATCAAATGTAAAAAAAATTTCTTTGATGTTTAACACAAGTTATCTCAGATTGAAAACTGCTATAAATACATTTAAATTCTTTCGATAATGCATTGAGAGCTCGATAAATTTTGGCACACGATATATGCAGACACATAAATGGTGATTGAATAGAATTGTGCATGTGGTGAAGATATTCGTTAAGAAGGAATTTTCCAGCCTTCAAAATAATAGAGCTTCTACTGCAGTTAAACATTTCAATGATAAGGTTCATACCTTTGTAAAATTTTGCCTAAGCAAGACTTACGTATTAGACAAAACTTGTAAACTTAAGCTGCATATATGTAGAATTCATTGGTTTGCCGCTATTCAGTCTTTGTCGGGTATTATAAACGATATACTACATAACTACATGATACTATATATTGATAATCTATTCAAACAATGTCATGTCTTATCTGTTAGATCGCATTCAAACATAGTTACTTAAATAATTTTAGAGTATACTTTTAGTAATCCACTCTGGCAATTAATACTTTAATAATAATAAAAAAAAGTGATTCTGCTCCAATATTTATTAAACTTAACAAAGACAATAAATGAATGAATGTTATTATTGTTAAGTAAATATATATATGTATATAAAGCATTGCAATAACTATGTAATTACGACTCGAAAAGAAAGAGACATCTAATAGACTCGATAAGAGATACAGGCATCTCTCGATACTTTTTCTGTGACATTGAGAGAATCTATGTTTGAAATTGCGTGACAAGTAACTTGGTTGCTTTGGCAATATCGTAAGCGCATGAACGTACTTGTTGCAAACAACGATCCATGTGCTCGGCATCACTGGTGCATCTTTGAAGGCCGGAACACTCAGCTTGAAGTCTCCCGGTATTGCCGTTTAACTGGCGTAAGGCGGACCTGATATTCTCCTCAATTGGATTCTACAACAAATACAGTGGGAATTGCTTCTGTCCCAGCGAATGAAGAAGCACGTTCAACGAATGAACAATAATCTTACCTGAGGAAATATAGCGGTTAATTCGGCAACAGCAACGCGTATCCTCTCGGCGCAAGGCACAAAGGCTTCTCGCTGGCTTGGATCTTGCATAGCCATCCACAGCTCTTGGATTCGCCTGGTAACTTGTTCCGTTCGGCGAGTTACCTCTTCGCTGGGCGGCAGATTGGGCGCGCCACATTCCCACAAGCTTTGCGTGTTATTCCGCGATAATGTCTCGGTGTCGCGTTTCGTCTGAATGAAATAAACGCAAACAGATTAGTATGGATATACTTTGTCAACTTGTTTCGGGGGGGAAAAAAGAAAAAAAAAACGTTAATTACCTGGCAAATAGTTGTTGACCATGACGCTGGTTTCCGCAGGCCTTCTCTAGTCTCGTACATAGATGCCGGTCGTTGATTTCCACGTACAGTGGACGTTTTGATATCGTGCACCGGTTCTAATTCAGGTTCCTGTTCGCCACCAACATGCCCGTTCATGTTGCCATCAGAACCTTTGACCTAGATCAGTAAAAAAAAATTGCATTTTCAGCATTTATCATGCGATTAAACATTGATATTTGATATGTTATAAAACAGATAACTAGAATTTTGAGTCAGTTACCTGTAGCATATGTTTCAGCTCGTTGTTCTCTCGAGTGAGTTGCTCGACGGTGGTTTGCAGGGTGTGTACCTGCTCGCGGAGATCTCGTACGGTTGATTCGGACAGGGTCAATTGTTTTTTCAAAACTTCTACCATGGACGGAAGACCCTTAGCGACTGGTGTAAATGTTTCCTGTAACAATACAGCACAGTAATAATCTTTGCTTTAAATTAAACGTATATTGTGCAACAAGTATAGAGAGCATGTTATAATGGTCACGCAAACGAATTGTTATAAATTGGCGGATATATTATTATCATTGCATTGTTGTTACGCAATATGCAAATCATGGTGTTTAGTGGATTGCGAATCATTATATGAATCAGTTCAGATCAGCAGCTAATTAATGTTTCACAATGGTCAAAATTTACACTTTTTGGCAATGATCGCACATGCACAAACAGTTCTGTGCACTTGCCTAATAACACCGCCTACAGAAAAGCCATGTGCTCAGCCAATTCCTTATTCCTCTTTTTGTTACTAGTGTCGGTACCTTTAATATTTTACCACAAACAAGTAAATACGACTATCGAGTTTTGTAAACTTATATATTTCTTGCATCTCTCACTCTCTTGATGCGAGTTAAAGTAAGCAATTTGCGAAACTAATATACTTTCACATGTTATATGCAATTAGAAAAAATTAAAATATATCTATGCAAGAATGTCCGATAATTTGTATTGTCATTCCAAGGATGAATATAGTCGCGTTTGTTAATGTATTTCTTTGTACTCGAAAACTGAAGTCTTTAAATTACCTCATTATTAGTTTTAGGCTGGTTTGAAACGTCAGATGAAGTATTATCTGTAGATGTCAGAGCAGCATAATCATCGTCAGATGCAACACTGTCGTACAAAGGTTCATCGTCAGACACTTGCGACCCGTGCCTACCAAGTTGCTCTTTGCGAAGCATAGATACCGCGGGATCTAAAGAACAATAGATGATATAAAAATGTAGAAATGATGTAAAATACTTGAAAAACTCTCATAAAATAAATGCGCTATTAATTCGGTAATATTACTTTGAAGTGCATTATTAGCAAGCATATGCCTCCGACCCGCCTCAACCAGTAAATCTACGATAAGAGTGGTGAATTCCTTCGGCGTGAATCTCGCTAATTTTTGCCTTCCTTGGTTTCTAGTAGACGACAATTGTGGATTAACTGGCAGAAATGGAACAGTACATTTCTCCGGGAGGGATGCGGTTGAAAACCAGACTATGCATAAAATATGAAAATCTACTTGTCTGCATATATTACATAATTCAGTAATTTATTATATAAATGTATTAGACATAATTCAATAATTTGTTTTTATACTTTGTACAATTATATTGCCAAATAAATTCAAACATTCTTTACTCACCCTTCCAAAGGAATAGCATGACACAGAAATATATGTGTATCATTAATAACTTAAATTAGTAACAAAATTCATGCACGTCTAAATCAAGATTAGCATATTTAATCTAGTTTGCAATAAACTGGAAACTGATACTCACTTGCTTCCGTTTCCCGACGATCCACCTCGTCATAAACATCCATGGCTAACTCCTCTAGCAAATGATTTGGCAACTAAGCAAAAAATAAATCGAATCTTACATATCCTGTACAAAATAAAATTGATAAATAATCAAAATATAAATTTCTACATACCATTTGTAATCTGCTTCTTCCTTCCAAAGTTAACTCATTTTTATCCAAGAAAGAAGCCAATTCGGAGTTTATGAGATGTTCATCGCCTCGATGACTTGGTTTACGAGAGCATATGTGATACGTCAGCCTATCTGTTACTTCGTACATACATTCAATTATACGTTCAGATAAATCTATATGCCCTGACATTCTGAAATAACAGAAAGAATACTCTTTAACGTGAAATATACTTTCCCTACGTTTCGTACAATAAAGACGTTACTGTCATGTCACTTACTTAGCGATATCAGCAGCCGTTTGTCCACTTAGATCAACTACACTCGGGTTTGCGCCATTAGCTATTAAAAGTTCTACTTGGAGAGCTTGCCCAGCACGAGCTGCCACATGTAAAGGTGTGGTCCCTTTTTCCTGTAAGTATATTACGCATGTAATTTAACAAAAGTGTTCCTCCTCAATACCACAATTATATCATTTGCAATACGTCAGTGTATTTTACTTGAATAATTACTGAAATATACCTTGTAAAAATAATTGGGGTTGGCTCCCTGTGCCAATAGCCTCAACGAAGTTTCTAAATTACTTGTACGAACGCTACTGTGCAACTGTCTATTGAGTTCCTCCTCCGTGCAACTTTCCTCCTTGCTCGGCCGTAATATAAAGGCCAAGTGTTGATGCTTGGCCTTAATAAAATCTGCCTTCACTGGACTATAAGCAAATAATGTAAAAATTAAACAAACAAACAAACAAACAAGCAAACAAACAATTAAGAAAATAAAAGCTTATTTCAAACGTTTAGAATTGGAATTGACTTTTAATCTAGAAGAATACCGATAACTGATCTGTATCTAAATTTGATTCATTCCACAAGCGTCAAAGAGCATTTGTGAGTGAAAATAATATATTCCGCAACAAAATACGATTTGTCATAACATAATTACTAACTGTAAGGGATCCTTAGGCTGTGGTTTCCTTCTACTAATCTTGGAGTTGCTGGGATCTAGCAGGGAATGTTCCCAAATACTGTTAGCTCCGTTATCACTCAACGTATGCACCATCTGGAATAATTGTTCAGTTATCTCGAGAGCTATACGACGTACATGCAATGTGACAATTTTAAGAGAATTGAAATCTTCTCTTTACGTAGCCATAGCCACTGCATACTAACGTTCAATAGGTGCGGGTTCCAAACGCCCTTGTGCAACGACTTGATGTGCGACACGTGACGCCCTAGACTACGATGAATCCCACAGCAATCGTCGCACAATAAAATAGCTCTGTTGATCGATGCCCATCCTGGCTCTGTGAAACAGCACGACAGATCTAATAATATTCTCTCAATCGAACAAGCGTCGCAGCCTAAAAGCTTGCATTACATAAACAAGGAATGTATGTTTATCTTCAATCAAGCTGGTTACCAAAGTAATATTCGAGGGACGTACACTGGACACATTCATAATGATCATTTATATTATTTTCTAAGCGCGCCTATCTTATTTTACGAGGAAAATGACGGGTCCAGGGGTCCAGGTGATCGTGGAGCAAAAACGATGCTGCGCTCACCGAGGGTCCCGCAGTCGGCGCACACGTCCGCGCTCGCTCTTTGCTTGGGACGTGCCATGCTTCCGTCTCCCCGGGAATCAGCGGCGCTCACTCTCGCGCATTGTGCTGCACCGCGACCGCGCGATGTAGACGGCGGAGGTGGACGGCGACGACGACGACGAGGAGAACGAGTTTTGGAGCAGAGCGAAGCAGAAACGCGAGTCGGGTTGTTCCATTACCCTCTCGCTACTCGTTACCCCCCCGTTTCCCGGAGACTGGAGAGTGGAGAGATCGTGGCGTCCGTCAGTGGCGCATTTCCTAAATTTGTGAAACGGAAGATTGTTGATAAGATAGCGTCGGTCACAGGTGATTTACCAGCGCGTGGTCCATCCGCGGTGATGCTTGACCGATCAGCGCCACTTTACGGGACGACGATGCACTAAGTGTCAGGATTATTGCCGTAAAGGCGTAAATTTCAAAATTACATCCCCTTGAATTGTTCACGTTATGTTTATGCGAACCTTTTTTATGTAGATAGTATAAATGTAAATTATTATAAATTAATTGATTATTAATTAATTTTTTGAACTGTATTTTTACACAACAGTCCTACGAAAAATAAAGTTTTAGATTTGCTTAAATAATTAGATGCATTTCAATTATAATTTATTTATTAATTAGCTATAAAGAGCGATATAAAAGATATGTGATACTAAAATAGAAATATTATTATTTACGCTGATCTGATCTGTTAATTTTTCAATACTAACAATTGTGTCTAAATTGAATAATAGTAAATGAGCATAAAATTACCAACGAAACATAAATTTCTGATATTTTTAATAAAATATGAATGTTTGATGATCCATAGATCACTTGTTTACATAACACGTCAAACAGTTTACAATATATACATATAGATGTAGATTTATTATTATATTTTACGTGCAAATGCCCAATCTGCTAAATGTAATGTCAAAAGAATTTTTTCTTTCGGAAACGGAATCGATAAGAGTCAAGAATAAGACTATTTCTAAAAGGATTATATTAAACGCTTTCCTTATCGTTAACAATACGCGATAACACTGTAAAAAAATAATAATACATTTATTGCGAAGATAAATTACAGCGATTACAATTGTAATCGTTTACGATACAACGGTGGATAATGGTGGAAAAGGATTCTGTTTAGATATAACCAATTTCTTGTGTTGATAAGATATGTAGCCTTTAATCTTGCCTTCGTATATCAGATTGGCGAGAAGGCATTCCGTCTCGTCCATATCTATATCCTCCATCCCGTACATCTGTAACGCCACGAGCAAGCTCAGCACCGGTATCTGATGCGTGTTCAGCGCCAGGTATACTTTCTTGAATAGATTTCTGTATGCGATCAGTTTGAGCTTCTCCACGATCAGATATATGCCCGCGTCTATGAAGAAGGTTTCGTGCTTCGCCATCACTCCTTCCAAGGAACGTAAATCTCCTTTCCTCACGGATTCCTTGAGCTCCCAGAATTCCATTAAATTATACTTCTCCAGGAGACTCTGCTTGGGCATGTATCCCAGCAGCATCTTCACAGGCACCAGATAAGTCAAGATCAATCTCTTATTTTTCGAACACTGTATGTGACAATGCTCGAACGCATAAGTCAGATACTCGTCGGCTGAAACAATTTGGCAGCGTGTTTATCTGATGTTACTTTGGTAAAGGAAGGCAATTGCTGTGGTTTACGAGACACGTGATAGAAAAGGTACTCACCGATCTTGTAATCGCTGTCGAACATCGCTTTCCGACCGACGAAAAACTTGTACGTGATCTGTTGCGCCAGCGCAAAGTGGTCCTTAAAAGGAGATGATTCTATGGCCCGTATCAACGGTTTGCACAGATGCAATTTGTTAATTCTGAAATACACTTTTAGCAGCTGATTGATCAGGGCCAGCATTCCCCATCGTTTCGTGTCCTCTTCCGAACTTCTGCTGTCAGCCGCGCAAACCCGGAAACAGGCCATCAAGCACTCGGCGCACTTCTCCAGGACCTCGCCGGGTTTCACGTTCTTGCTGCTCTTGGATTTTTCCGCGCCTATCGCCGATAATCTCAGTTCCAGGCACATCACGTTCATCACCGGTAACATCCAGTTTTCCTCCTTCTGCATCTGTAGAATCTTCGCGAGACATTGTACGGCCGAACTTTGAAAATTGTACATGACCAAAGGCTCGTTCTTGTTCATAGCGGATACGGCTCTAAGGGGGAGACCAAAAAATATCGATCGTATACGCAATGTCAAATGAATCGTCCAGCGTCTGAATAAATTATAAAACAAAAGGATTGTGTCTTTACTTCAAGTGGCAAAGTACCAGGTCGTCTAATGGTGCGGATAAGTGTTCCATGGCCTTGTTCATGGCGGTCTCCGATCCAATTTGAGGTACCAAAACATGATTGTGCCGCAGGGACAAGAGATCCTACGAAGGAACGATTAATCATTCACGCGATTAATGTGAGCTTTGATCGTAATACATTCGTGCATTATTTACCGCCAACGCTTCCCCGTCCTGGTTGAGCCACACTCGCCGAATCTGCGAAATAAAGTAAGTGAAAGATAATGACCTGAAGATTATTATACAACACTGCGCTGTGCCTATCGATTTTACACCCCACCTGCATTACGTAGGAATCCATTTCGACTGCAGTTAAAATATAAATAACGAATCTTCGAAGATAAATGAATTTTCAGTCAGATGACAGGTTTTATTTTGGAAGTATACACAATACACATGGAGTCATGGGCGCGTCGCGTGCAGTTTGCGCCAGATTACGCATGCGCTATCTATTTTACCGGCAGTGAGTAATTGGCTGTGTAGTTCGCTCGAAGATGGACGCAGCAATCGGTAGAGAGCGCGTAAATGCCAATGACGATCTGAAATCTGAAATTGAATTTGACAGACTGTCAAGTACGGGAGAAGAATTGACATTAGTGTCTGTTTTTTTTTTTTTTAGAGAAATCTATCCTTCGAGTGAAAGGAAGATTAGGTGCTTTTAGCACCTTTTCTCTCCTTTAGATCATATAGCACTTGAATTTCTGGAATTACTGAAATCACTTCCCTATCCTTTTGACGCACAAGCGTCTGGGCGCGTTAAGTCTAGGTTATGTCTTGGTAAATATGATTTATCAATTATCATTTAACTTGTTTTTAGAAAATTTCGAGAGGATGAAAATCTTACAATTGATTCTTTTCAGACATGTGTCAACTTTCCTGATCGTTGAAGATATTACGTAGCTGAGAAGATGAGCAACGAAACTCAGATTACGAGTATCTTAAACGATATCTTGGTAAGAAGTATTCTTTCTGCATTCATGAATTCGCTAAGACAGAATCTTAATTTCAGTAATTGAGACGCGGGAAAGATTTCTTCATATTTGTATTTTATATATTTTAGAAAGTAGAAGCGATAGAGGAGGCTTTCAGTTGCGTTCTCGTTCATCATCCCAAGAAGGAGAGTGAAAAGGTGGCGACATGGCATCAAGAACTGAAGACAGCTGTGACCGGATTGACGAAGGAGCAGCAGGAGGCGGCGGTTCGTCAGTTCCTATCGATGGCGGCAGCAATGACGAACCACAGGCGATTACAATTATTACTGTCGCTACTGGAAAACCTAGTGTATTCAAATTACTTGCCTGCTAGGTACATTTTTAGATGAACGAACGTTTTGCATTTTGTTCACGTCGCTTTGATTCTTTTTGTCGTATTAAACTGTTTTCTATGAATTTTTTTTTTGCAGATTGGTGTGCGAATGTATTCTGAGTTGCGACAAATTGCAATATCAGTTGGAGGATTTTTGGGTTGAGTGTTTTGTTCTCATTAGACATATCATCGGCGGAGTCGACTACAAGGGAGTCAGAGAAATCATGAAAGTAGGTTCCCATTAATAGTTGTAATGATTTATCGCGTATTTTTAATATGCATTCAAGGCATTATGATATTTCTCGTAATCTTATTATATAATGTAAGACAAAAGTCTAAAGAGATATATTTCTGTGGTATCTTTCAGAGACGTTTTTCTGTGTTTTACTTTCAGGGATGCAAAGAGAAGGCCCAAACCATACCAGCCCGATTAGACGCGTCGGTACAACCACAACTAAAGGCTTTGGAAAACGTTATTGAATATATCTTCGATAGAAATGCGTGCTTATTGCCGGGTTATTTTATTGTCAACGAGATACAGAAAGCTTATCCCGACAGCAAAAATTGGCCTCATTGGGTAAGTAACTTTAATATTAAGAGCAATAAGCAAAATGAATAAGATTAAGTGTAAAACATATTTGATGGTTTTGTGAAAAAGTATTTCTCGTTTGTGTTATCTAGTTTTATCCATTTTTCGACACGTTTGTTTTAGAAACTGGCAAAGTTGCTCTCGAATTTTGTCGAAAGTTTTCGAAATACTGCGCAAATGGTATCTATAGTGGGACACTCGAAGATGTTGCCAGTGGTTGAGCATACAGGATACGCAGACTATTTGATCAATCCTTGGTTATTGGATCCTACTACATTGAAGTTTTCTTTGAAAGGAAATCTACCTTACGATCCAGATTTACTTAAGCCTCAAACGGAGTTACTTAGATATGTTTTGGAGCAGCCATACAGCAGAGATATGGTCTGCTCGATGCTTGGTTTGCAGAAACAGGTAAGACGAAATTAAAACACGTGAAACGTGAAAATTAATGAGATGCAAGCGTTTCAACTGTTAAGAGACAAAAACGAAGTTGTAACTGTAAGGGTACACAATAGGATAAATATCTGTTTGAACTTTTTTTTCGTTGGTTCCACATGCCAAGTATATTTTTCGAAAGTTATATATCAGAAAGCACACTGTCGGCTTAATTAATATTGATAGTGATCAATTTAAAAAGGTATTTTCTTTGTATAACAGCACAAACAACGATGCATCGTCTTGGAGGAGCAACTTGTGGAGCTCGTCATCCTCGCGATGGAACGATCTGAAAACGAATCTCTGCCAGCAGAGGGGATGGATGGAACAGTGGCCAATCACTGGGTGTGGTTGCACCTGTCTTCGCAACTGATTTACTTCATTCTCTTTCAATTCGCCTGTTTTCCAAGCATCGTTATGGCGATACACGATAAATTAGCCGGTAGAGAATTGAGGAAGGGTAGAGACCATCTGATGTGGGTCCTTCTGCAATTTATTTCGGGTAGCATTCAACGGAATCCGCTGTCGAATTTTTTACCCGTTCTGAAACTGTACGATCTTCTCTATCCGGAGAAGGAACCTCTGCCTGTCCCAGATTATACCCAAGCGCTGTGCACTCATCAGATGGCGATAACGTGCATATGGATACATCTACTGAAGAAGGCTCAAACCGAGCCCTGCACTAACATTCACAGGCCCATACCGCACACGCTGAAGGTCCATCATGAGTTTCTGCAGCATCTAGTCATGCCAAATGCTTCTCTGTGCATGGGATCGGATTATCGCATTGCGCTATTGTGCAACGCGTACTCGACGAATCAGGAGTATTTTAGCAGACCGATGGCGGCGCTCGTGGATACAATCCTGGGTACGCAGAAGAATCAACAGCAGCAGCCATTGCAGAATCTGCAGAATAACGCGGCGTTGGCGAACGGCCCGACGACGCCGCTTTCAATGTCTATTCTGGATTCTCTAACCGTGCACTCTAAGATGAGCCTGATCCACAGCATTGTTACGCATGTGATCAAACTGGCGCAATCCAAGAGCAACATGGCATTAGCACCAGCACTGGTCGAGACTTATAGCAGATTATTGGTATACACGGAGATCGAGAGTTTGGGCATCAAAGGTTTTATCAGCCAGCTGTTGCCAACGGTATTCAAATCGCATGCCTGGGGAACATTGTACACACTGTTGGAGATGTTCAGCTACAGGATGCACCATATCCAGCCGCATTACAGGGTACAGCTGCTGTCGCATCTACACAGCCTCGCAGCGGTACCGCAGACCAACCAGACGCAGCTTCATTTGTGTGTCGAGAGCACGGCGTTGCGTCTCATTACCGGACTGGGTTCGGCGGAAGTACAACCGCAACTGTCTAGGTTCCTGTCAGAGCCGAAAACCCTCGTGTCTGCTGAATCGGAGGAACTTAATCGAGCATTGGTATTGACACTGGCGCGATCCATGCATGTAACCGGCACCGGTGCCGACAGTCTCAGCGGCACGTGGTGCAAGGAACTGTTGAACACCATCATGCAAAATACGCCGCATTCTTGGGCGAATCACACCCTCCAGTGTTTTCCGCCGGTGTTGAGCGAGTTCTTCCAGCAGAACAGCGTGGCGAAGGAGAACAAGCAACAGATAAAAAAAGCGGTCGAGGAAGAATACAGAAATTGGGCGTCCATGAACAACGAGAACGACATCATCGCGCATTTCTCCGTTCCTGGCACGCCGCCGTTGTTCCTCTGTCTCTTGTGGAAAATGATACTCGAGACCGACCGCATCAGTCCTATCGCGTACAAAATTCTTGAGAGAATTGGCGCCCGAGCGCTTTCGGCTCATCTCAGGAAATTTTGCGATTATCTGGTGTTCGAATTTGCCAACAGCGTTGGCGGTCAGCATGTCAACAAGTGCGTCGACACTATTAACGACATGATCTGGAAATACAACATAGTGACCATTGACAGACTTGTACTTTGTCTAGCGTTAAGAACTCAGGAAGGTAATGAGGCTCAAGTGTGCTTTTTCATCATACAATTGTTGCTATTGAAAGCGGCGGAGTTTAGAAACCGTGTACAAGAGTTCGTTAAGGAGAACTCGCCGGAGCATTGGAAACAGTCAAATTGGCACGAGAAGCATCTCGCTTTTCACAGGAAGTTCCCAGAAAAGTTTGCGCCGGAGGGTATTATGGAGCAGACTAGTGGCGGGCCAAGTCAGTATCAAAATTTGCCCGTGTACTTTGGGAACGTATGTCTCCGCTTCTTACCGGTTTTTGACATAGTGGTGCACCGATACCTAGAGATACCGCCCGTCATCAAGAGCTTGGAAATATTGTTGGAACACTTGGGCTGTCTGTACAAATTTCACGGTATGTGTCTGATAAACTTCATCGATTCTAGTAAAACGGAAAGATCTTTCTCTATCATGCAATATAATATTTGTATATATGTATTTATTGCTCCCGAAATGAATAACCATTTTATTATTACAATAACCTCATATTCTTTCATTTATACAATTTTATTTTTTATTTTACGAATCGACCGCTTCTATACGAAGTCACATGTCGTCCCGTACAAAATGATATAAAAATTAACATATAAATATAAATTGTTCAAATTGGCTATTGAAATGTTTCTTCTTTTCGTTCTATAAAAATGTAATTAAAGCAAGTAAATTTCTTTCGGCGGATTAATTGAATTTTGTTTGATTGAAGGCAATTCTGATTTTTAGATCGTCCTGTGACATACCTTTACAATACATTGCATTATTACGAAAAGAAGTTGCGAGATCGGCCGTTGTTAAAACGTCGATTGGTATCCGCCGTTTTGGGATCGTTACGAGAAATCAGGGCACCAGGATGGGCACTTTCCGAGGCTTATCAAGTGTACATGACACGCTTCAATGACGATGCAGTGTCATGGGTACCAGAATTGGATTATTACATTCGACTTGTACAAAGGATCGTAGAAAGTAAGACAACCAAAGTTTTTGTATCACACGACGATTCATATTTTTACTTGGCTCTTATGATTAATTGTAGTATAAATTGTTTTTGAATGGAAGCAAAATTAAAACTCTATCAAAACCTTAAAGAAAGTTAATAGGATATAAATAAACTCTGCTAGTCTGGCAATATATTTATTAAAAATGAAAATATATAACAGAAAGCAAATGCTAAATTCTTTCTCCGTGCTTATTTTTATTCGCAAAATTCTTGATAAATTTTGAGTAATTTTTAAACGAAAAGAGCAATCCACGAGTTATATCAGAATGACAGAGAGTCACTTATTTTATTATTTTAATAATTAAGTATGTATTTGTTAAAGCAATGTCCGGCACGGCTCACTTTCCCGCCACCGACTGGAGATTCAACGAATTCCCAAATCCAGCCGCGCACGCATTGTACGTGACTTGCGTCGAACTTATGGCTCTTCCGGTTGCTCCAGATGCAGTAGCTAACTTTCTATTAGACGTTGTTGCTAAAGGGTATTGTTTTCTTCTATCTTCAAGTTTCATAGTCGGATCATGATGATTCTACTGTTTCAGAACAATATACCGAACTGTTGTGTAACTTTGCTTATTATTTACCTCAGGTACACCGTTGTGCCGTCATACGAGATACATTTGTGGATAAATTGCGTCGGTTTGTTACTAGCAGCGTTACCAGAATGTTATTGGTCAGCATTGCACAAACGTTTGCTGGAGACCATCAGCAGTCCCGGCTTGGTTAATTGGCAGTACAATAACTTGACGCCATTCCAAATGTTTAACTTCAACATCACGCATAACAACCTGTTAGAAAACAAGTACAGCTACATGCTTGCACTGGCGCATTCTGTGTGGCATCATGCAGGCGTAGGACAGATCACGACAATGCCTCAGTAAGTCTGGATATAAATATATATATAAATTATTTATAAATAACATTAGGATATATAGAAAAGTATTGTATATTATGAAAGAAAATTTAAACAAAATTGACATTTTTATAGTTTTTACAAATAGAAATTTGTATAATTATATTCTGTTATATTTAACAGAAATGATTGTTTAATTCGACCCAACTACATTTATTGAATCTTGATCTTCACATTTTGACCATTGGTTTTGATCCTTCTCAAATGCAATATTTTTTGGTTCTTACATTTATGTTACATATGCTCATAATTAGATATTATTCTTGTGTTGAATTTGCAATTTATAGATTTGCACTTGAAAAGAAGCAAATGGACGAAACGTTGAAGATTAAGATTCAATAAATGGGTTGAATTAAACAAATAGGGAATAGTGAGAGAGGCAATCGGAGCCACGCGCGGTAATTATTGCGCAATCAATATATAGTCAATAAGATAAAATATATTAGTCAATACATATTCGGAAAATGACACAAAGAAAATATCAGAACGTCCGAATATGTATTGACTAATATATTTTATCTTATTGACTATATATTGATTGCGCTATAATTATCGCGCGTTGCTCCGATTGCCTCTCTCACTATTCCCTATTTGATTTATTCAGGAGAGCCTATATTTAGTTTATTATTATTGAATTAAACAATTATTTTGTTAGATATTACTGACAGAGCAAAAGATTTATTTTCTGTTTGTTATATTTAATTTATCGTATTTTGTTACGAATTAATAAATAACTCTTCAGGTTTATCAAGGAGAAACTTCAGCCGGTTGTAAGCAGCGAGGAACAATTAATATACGCTTGCCACCTAATCGGTCCCACTCTAGCGAGGTTTAACGCGGAGCGGCCACATTGCGTGGTCGAGCTTGCAGTCTGCCTGTACGAGATGCTGGAACGAGTTGACCACACTCAAACAACTTTGAATTACATGGATCCAATTTGCGATTTACTGTATCCTTTGCATACGACTGTCAAGCTAGACGAATTTGGAAACAATTTTCGACAATTTTCTTTAATTTTCTTCTTCTTCTTAGTCTGTCCTTTTTTACCCGAAGATGTAGAAGTGGCACATAGAATATGTTTTTATTCCTGTAATCAGTAGCGGGATTCTGTAACTCCTTAACGACAGTTCCGGTATCGTTGCGCAAGTATTGTATAAATTATATAAAAAAGTTGCGCAACGATACCGATACTGTTGATAAGGAGTTACAGAATCCCTCCATAGGTTGGACTCGAGCCTGATTCCTCGCGATTATGAGCCTGGCGCTTTATTCCTAAATCACACTACCGTCCCTTCTTTAATTGTCGTTAAAGATAAATTTGAGTAACAGGTTCATATAAAGATTAATTTGAGAGGATCTCGCTCTCTGATGCGTTTATCGAGAGACTTTTACGATGATACGTGTACTCTTTCGTATCTTCCTTAACATTTATGACAGATATCACATCAAGTACATGTTCGTCGGTGATATGACGAAAAACGAGGTGGAGTGTATCATACGGAGGCTGAGGCCAGCGTTGCAAATGAGGCTGCGTTTCATCGCTCACATAAACATTGACGAGATCCATACGTCCTAAGATGTCCATATGCCTGTAAAAGAGGGTTGCCGTCGACGCGACGTGTAATTCAGCATCTCGCCTCAAATCTTCGGCTCGCGGAATGCCGACCTAGGTCGTTCTGGAATTAGAATTTATCAATTTAAATATAAACAGACGTAAGGTTGCATCCCCATGGAGAAAGAAATAGCGGAACGGAATTAAAACGGTATTACTCTGATTAGCTAATCTCCAGGTGGGGGGGCTCTCCAGGTGGAATATTCGTCAATCAGAGTAATACCGTTTTAATCCCGTTCTGCTATTTCTTTCTCCACGGGGAGGCAGCTTAAGAAATGTATGCTTCCTATGTTTTTTTTAACTCTTTACGAAATGATATCTCTTGTACTTTGATACTTTCAGAGTGTACCCGAAAATAAAGTTTAACATTCAGTAATCGCACGCTGTTTATCGATGAGCGCGCGTCGTCAACGTCCACGTCGCATCACGGACTTCTTTAAATAGATCGCTCATCGCTCCATTCGCCTCCATTTTTTATTTCAAAAATCGGGGAGTCATGTCGAATGTTACGTGTACTCACACACGTAAATCACGTGATAATCGTATCCTAAACAAGTACCATGTCCAGAATCGGGACATAAGACGTCTTTAAAATGACTTTGGACATGCGTGCCGTCTGGGATGACACACAATCACGTGATGTACATTCGCAGGTATTACGCAACATGTAATAGCGGCTCAGTTTCACTTCTATCTCTTTTTCTATCACGTGCAAAATAATTACAATGCGCGCTCTAATTGGTATATATATAAGTCAGTGAATAAAACCTGGAGTTTCTCGAGTAAGATTTACGGGCACCGTCCGCCATTTACGGTACTACGATGCGCTTGTAAAAAAATTGTTTAAATCAGGTTAGTATCTATGCAATTTATCAATACAGAAAGGAATTTAATTATCATATGCTCATAAGCCGCACCTCGTTTTACATCCTACTTTATTTCCGTGCGCGCGTTTCTTCCCTCTCTTTTTCTCGATATTCTCGACTCGACGGAGGTCGATTCCCGCGCGGACGCCAATTTTGAATGTTCCCTCTCTTTCCCTCGCCGACGGAAAGCGCCGGAGACGGCCGAGCGTGACTCTCGAGTTTCCGCCAGCGCTCTCTCCGCGAGGCGGATTCATGATGGCGCGCGCGTGAAAATCGGTGCTAACAATGCGTATCGAGCGTATCGGCCGTTTGACGTAAGTGCCATCGGTTTTGTCTCAAAGTCCTACAGAAGACGCGCAGTTCTCCCCCGCGAGGACATCCTCGAATTCGTTGCAACGAGCGGAACGCCAGTTCCGGAGTCGCGCTCCACCATAGCTCGCGTCTTCGTCCCGTCGTCGGGGCCCCTCGCAGCCATGCAGGCTCAGCAGCAAGCGCCGCAGCAGCAGCAGCAGCAGGGCCATCAGCAGATCGCGGGCACCAGCGTGATATTGAAGATGAACGAGATCCAGCAGCTGACCACCGCCGGTACGTCCGAGCCTTTTTTTTTTCTTTTTGCTCTTTCCGAAACGAATACGTTGCCAATGGGCTCCGTACAGCTCCGTCCTTTTAACCTGCGCTTGTCCCGCCTTTGTCACCTCTTTACACTTGTTCGCTCTTTTTATTCTTTTCCATGGCCGCGGAGAACGACGTGTGAAGGCACAGGATGCCACGATATGCTGCTCCCAGCAGCGGCAATTTTTATACTTTTCCTCCGTCCGAAGCTCGAGTGTGTTAACGTGCTTTATTTTCGGTGTATACCCGAGATTCGCGTGGTCTAAGAAGTGCAGCAAATGTTTTTTATTTCTACCGAGAAGTAGATCAACTTTATCGCGGTTTAACTTGCGTTTCATCTTCTGAGAATTAAGAGGAAGGTAAAGAGTAAGTTAAACCCGAGATTAAAGTTAATCTACGTTTTGATAGGACACGAAAGAAATAAATAAATATATATATAAACGTGCGATACGAGCGCGTGCCATCAAGCGAATCGAGCAAGCATATGTGTATGTATATGTATACATACATGAGGCATCTCACTCACGACCTTAATTTCAACGATAGACTGTCCGACCAATTAGAAATTGATTTTTCTGGAGTAAAACTGCTGAGAACTAACTCATTTCTAACAACTTTATATTTTCAACGCTATATGTCGTTTCTCGATTATACATCAGTACTGAGTCTTGAAATTTTATTAAAGTCCATTTGACGCTAAAGTAAAAAATATAGAGACAATTATTTGAGAATTTTTTTTAGTTGGTTATTGCTTGGAAAAAATCAGACTATTGGATCTTGATATTTTTGAGAAGGAAGTTTAGATTTCACGTTTATCAATGAATTTATTATTGAAATTAAAATCAAGATATGTACACATATGCGTGCGCTGCGTGCAGAAAATGTAAGAAAAAGTGCAGGTAAAATGTGCTATTAGCTATTAGAAGCAGTTTGGAAAAAAATCTAATGAATCTAATGAATCTAATGTTTCTTCAATCTTTATTTTAAACAGTATGGCCATCACTAATATTTAGAGAAAGAGATCAACCTAGCATTTGATCGAAGAGGATTTGAGTGAAGATAAAACTAATACTATTGAAAAATTACACATTGACGTCATGCTGGATGAGAACATTTGAGCTTCCAAATTTGTCCCGGGTCTGGAATAAATATCTTCGTCGAAATAAGTGTAATTTACGAAATGTAAATTACATTTACGTTAAATCACTCCCGATATTTTGCGTGTGTTCCAATGCGAAATGTAACGACACAGTCCATATGCGGATTGTAGCTTTCAATTTTACATACTACAGCTGATAATTTTAAGTAAGCAACAATAGAAATAATATTTAATGCATTCAAATCCGAGACAAGTGTATACCAAATTTTTTTTCCCCGAAATATGAATTAAATATCATTCGGAGATAGATGATTTATATCGTATTTTTAGCGCGATATTCAGGCGCTGAAGTAACAACGATCTCTCCATAAAATCTTTCATTGTAAATCCCAATTCTGTTCGAGTTGATTGCTGTTATTGAGTCATATTTTTCTAATTACATTATCTAAATTATTTTCTATTTCGGCATTTATGGATTTTATTTCTTTTACGGGAGAAAAATGGAGTTTTTAGTCAGTTAAAACAACTTTATTTCGACCCAAACATCGACAACGTGTACGATTGGGACAAAAGTATTTTCTCCTCGGGTTTTTTTTTCCATAAATTCACCGGCATCGGCGTTGTCGGTAAAGCTTTCCTACCCCTCCCCCAATAGCGGATATCTCCCCTCTTCGCTTCCTCCCCTTTCGTTGAACTGCGTTGAACGCGACAATGGAATATTCCACTGGGTGCCTATTCCATCTGCCTTCCGCACTGAGAGGGGGAGATCTCCCTTCTCTCTCTCTTTCTCTCTCTCTCTCTCTCTCTCTCTCTCTCTCCTTCCTTTTTCGCTGCGATAACTTCTCCTGCCTCGGTCTCCCAGAGCACAGGAGCGTGTATAGCGATTGGCAGCAACACGACGATACGAATGTTAATTTCCACTTCCAAATGATTAAAACTTAAATTTTTCATCTGCGGTTTTAATTAAAAAGAGCAGTCGTTAAGCATCGTGATAGCTTCGATGAGTTACATTTTTATATCTAGAAAAGACGTCAATAACGTGCCGACAAACGAATTGTCCGCATTATGACAACAGATTGGCAGCAGATTTGTTCAGATATCGCAACCGACTCGGTATCACTTGGGTCCGCATTGAATTTGTGATTCGCCGCCAGAGCCTGCCAATAGATTCGACAGCAGATCAATCGTCGGTGGGAACCGAACAGAATCCGTCACTTCGTGAACGTTTAAATGGAATGCATCATTTAAATGGTGGTTACGAAACAGCAGATTCTCGTCAGTTCCTGCAAAATCGATATGCCATTACATTCTGTTAGCTGAGTCTTGTCACATTTTTGCTGGCATTCTATCGACAAAATTTGTAGCAGGCACTTTGAAAAGCTGTTCCTGACAGATTTGGCTTGGGGTTCGCTGCAAATCCAAGTGTGTTATTTTTAAAAGTGACACATTTGAAACTTTTTCACATGTCGAGTTATGTCTTGCGTGTTAAATTACGTCATTTAACACGTTTAATTGTATCAAATTAGGCGTTAATACGTTCAATCGTGTTAAATGACGTGATTTAAAACGGCAAGAGGATTTGCAGCGCGTTGTTGCGTTTTCAAGATGATAATGTACATCTACACGTGCGGTTATCTCGGAAATTAATGACCAAAAGATGTATGAGATTAAACTCGCTCTGTTTTGAAGGAAACGAACATGATGGGCGAGGGTTAACTCCGTTTTTGAAAACGGAGTACGATTCTTCATTCTCCCAGTCGTTCTTTTCACCCAACCATCAAATCGATTTTGCATTTAACAAATTTTCGCTATTATAAATTAAATTACTTGTGCAATTAATTTTATAACTTTAATTTAGTTATATAACTATGGTTTAGAATAATCAACTTTTTTTTTTTAACGCGAGAAAACATGTAGCATAGTTTTTCTTTCTGCAAAGAAAAGTGAGTTTTCTCTCAAACGACAACGAAGACATCCACGATGCACGACAGCATGTCGATACGCCCCTGAAGTTTCCCCTCGCCGCTCCTCCGTTCTTTTCTGTTCCAACCTGACGCGTCAGTCCGCTGTAGCGCCGACCAATCGGCTCGTCCGTTTCGCCGCCTGCATTCCTGGCGAGCAGGGAGGGAGAGGGTAGAGGGTGAAGAGGGTGAATTAGGCAGAGCGTATGTGTATACGTATATGTACACGAAGGTGTAGCGTGGTGTAGTGGAGTAAGCGGAGGCATCGAGGCGACGCGTAAGCGGAGTTGGAGAGATTCACGTTTCACGCCGCTCCGGAACCATTTTCCGCGATCTGCCGGGGCTCGAAGCTCGAAGCCGGACTGAGGCGCGTGCAAGCGAACAAATTGGCCGCGAGTTTCCGCGCGAAAAGGAAAAAAAAGGGAACTTTTCGTATATTTACATCGCGAACACTCGCCGGCGTCTCGAAAATGAGCGTGATGCACGTCGCGGAGAAAAAGGGCAGCGCGCTGAAGGGCTCCAACGCGCTGATCGCGACCATGGAGAACGAGGACGGCGACTGGCAGACCGGGCAGAACCTCTTGCTGGTCGCCCAGGACGCCCAGGGCAAAGAGATCATCAACCTGACCGACAATCAGACCATCAACGTGGCTGTGGATACCTATTGTTCGTACACTTCCTGGATATTTCTCTCTCTCTCTCTCTCTCTCTCTCTCTCTCTCTTTCTCTATCTATCTCTATCTCTCTATCTCTCTCTCGTCAAGGGCGTTTCGACGGGGTTGCGAGGGGCGAGACCGGCCCGATCCTGGGTGTCGCGTTTTGTACTCGAATGCAAATTGAATTTAAATTTGCGATCGATAGCGCACATGATGCAAATCCGCTTGACGTTGATTCGATACCTTTGTTCCCTGCCATATTTTTTTTACTATGACATTTTGAGCACGGAGAGGGGAGATTATAATTCTCTTTGTTTGGTCCCTCATTTCCAGAGACGTGAAACGAGCGTTCTTTACGTAAAATTAAGTCTTATGTACACTTTTTTATTGCCGTAGGATTTTTACAGCGAAACTCGCTTATCGAGAAACAACGGAAACATTTTCTACAATTTGCTATTGGATTCTATTGTGGTATTCTATTCTATTGAATAGAAAGTGAATAAAAGATACTGCGCACTAGGGAAATATCATATTTCTTTGACAAACTTGAGCCCAGATATTGATCCAAGTACTCGCAAGTACCTCACGCATTGTCTCGATTCTTGTTTCAGGGTTGCTAGAACTTGCTCACAGGGAATATCAGGCGGGTGATTACGAGAACGCCGAAAGACATTGCATGCAGTTGTGGCGACAGGAGACAAACAATACCGGCGTTCTTCTCTTACTTTCCTCCATACATTTCCAATGTAGGAGATTAGAGAAGTAAGTAACTTTTTATCTTTTATAGATGTGTATTACATTACAGAAATGGGTATGCATTTTTATAAATTATTATGTTTTTCGGCATGTAGTATAAAGTCATGATTTTGCAAATTCTAGATCTGCACACTATAGCAGCTTAGCGATAAAGCAAAACCCATTGCTGGCGGAGGCGTATAGCAATTTGGGAAATGTATATAAAGAGCGCGGGCAGCTACCGGAAGCGCTGGAGAATTATCGTCATGCTGTCAGACTGAAACCCGACTTCATCGATGGTTACATCAACTTGGCCGCGGCACTCGTGGCGGCTGGTGACATGGAACAAGCCGTTCAAGCATATGTCACGGCGCTACAATACAATCCCGTGAGAAAATCGACATTACGAACATATTTATACAGTTTAACTATTACTTAAATATATGAAACAGAGCGTCTGAATGGCTTTTTAGAAATGGCTGTAAAAAATAAAGTTCTTGCTCGCAAGATAAACTCGCTTTGCTCTTTATGTGGTAAAGCTATTATACGCTAATAAGATTTATTTCTCGTTCTTTGGCTATATAGATTCATAAATGCAAAACTTATCGGTTTAGCGAAGCAAAAAATATTTCATTATATAAAATATGTTTTATTTTGAATGAGATACAAGTTATGCGGATATAATTTACATATTTTGCCTGTTCCAGGACCTTTATTGCGTGCGGAGTGATCTTGGTAATCTTTTGAAAGCATTAGCAAGACTTGATGAAGCCAAGGTATGTTTTAGAATCATTCTATTAGCTAATAAATTAATCCAACGTGTTACGCACATGTTCGCGAGCGTCTTTACTTCGATCAAGCTACAGACGGCGGAACCGTCGAGTAAGGAATATAGAGCACGTTACGCTTCTTGAATTAACAGATTGCCACAGAAGTCTCTTTAACTTTAAAAAGAGATTTACCTATCCCATCCTGAAAATTATATTACCTTTTTCCCGAATCCTAGAAATAACGGAAAATAATAATTAATTCTGTGAGCATTTCTGAATCAAGGAGAGAAGAGAGAAATTTACTTTATTTCATCGTACAATAATGTCTTTTGTTCTAATTAGCAAATGTTCCGCCATCCTTGAGTCTTCATTGACATTTCTTGACCGAGTACAAATGCGTCGCGCGTATGTGCACGAGCTACAGCGTTTAGTTCTCCGCGAAATGAGCGGACCGAACGAAATTTGTTCGCGCCGTTACCACGAGAAGCTTTCAGTCCTTGCCAAAGCAAAACTTGCAAGCGCGATGCACGATCTTACGTCGCTGAGATTGATTACAGATTGAGCTTCAAGTTCCAAATCTTGTTTGATATAGCTATCTCTTATGGATTAAGCGGTATTAATAAATATTAAGTACGTGATTGCGAGCTCTATCAGCGGATTGAAGATCGTGCGCATTCCTTCATCCTACAAAACCGAAAGAACCGCGTTTTATGTCGTGAGCAGATTTCGATTTTTCGGAGCGACATTAAGCGATGGTTTTAACATAAAACCCTAAACAATATAACGACTTCTGATAGACGCGTTTCAACCCGGATGCTTTGCAAAAACTTAACGAATTTTTCTCTCTGTTGAAAGTAATAACGTTGTCAAAACAGTTTTGAAGATTCGATCGGATATTCCGAGAGAGAAAAATACGAATCTTAAGTTTTTTTTAAATAATTCTTTTTCTTTTTTCGACTTATTATCGTAACAGATTTTAACAGATTTTTTTTTACAATCAAAAGAATAAAGAAATATTTTATAGTGTTTAGGGGATTATTGTCAATTGTAACTGAAGAGAATATTGTTTCTGGCGTTGCGCGTTTTTTTGCAGCAACACTCAAGTGCGTTTTGACTATTTTGAGGATTCGTAGGGTGTTGCCGCAAATTATAAATTGCTTGCCAGTTCCATCTAAGTGGAATTCAGTTCCGCTGAATCGATACCGATGGTTCTGGCAGCGCGCGAATGTAGCGTATGGGCTGATTTTATCTCTTGTTTGGAATGTGTGAACTTACTGTTACTGCAGCGCACATGCATTACCACGTGCGTGTTTATATGACACTTTCATGTGATGATGGAAAGAGAGAAAGAGAGAGAGAGAGAGAGAGAGGGCGAGAATCTATGGTGTGTACGGTAGCGCGAGATCACTTGACCATATTAAATTGAATAGAAAATGATTGTGTCGCGTTAAACCAGCAACGCGATAATACTTGGTCACAGCGACGGTCTGTAATGCGGGAAAAGACCACGGAGTTCACGTAATAAGGAAGGTAATGTTACTATTATAAAGCTACTTCTAAGTAATATTGATATGATTGAATAATAAGAAACACGCATGAGATAATTAAACTTGCCGGACCCTTATATCTTGCTTACCGAATCCATGACTATGATCTATCGTTAATCGGTCAAGTGGTCTATTTTTGCAGCGCGGCGCGGCAACGACCGGGTGAGGGTGTATCTATAAATACTATATTCGTTATTCTCTTTTCGTTTGCATCTCCTGATTTCTGGCAAATGGTAAATGTTTCGATGCACGTTTAACAAGTTACGATTTATAGATATGCCCCTACTCGATCCTGAAAATGACAGCAATGAGGAAAGCTTCCCGTTACGCTCCCGCTATTCCTGAGAACTGGCTGGTACGCTCGTTCGTTTCTTGCCGAGCTCCCTCAGCCATCTACTTTGTGCCGACAAACGCGAGATAACGTAACGCGACTCTTTCGCACTGTTTTGTTTTCCACGGTAACGTTTGATGATCGATAGAATTAATAAAATGTTCGTAAAAAGGAGAGAAATGCGCAGTCCGAGTTCGGCGATCGCGCGAAAGAAATGGGAAACAGCAGCAGCTGGCTGGACGAGTTCGGCGAGGCGTGTCCTTCGCAGGCACGTGAATTATCAAATTCTTTGTGTACACAAATATACAGAAAAAGTTAGAGAAAAAAAGAGATGAGATAAAAGATAAAAGACAAAGATTGAGGCGAAGAGTAATCAGTGAAGAGACATTAACGCAGCTGTCTTATTGTTGTGGATGGGATGATCAACTCTAGGAGGGGATGTGCAGGAGCAGTGTGAGGTTGGTTGGTTACCGTGCCGGTTCCTTCGTCAAAGGGTGAATCTGAATCTGGTTATTCAGTAACACACTGTCTCTCGGTCTAAGTTTATTATGAGAGCTTGCAAGCCGTACCTACCAAGTCAGCCTACCGAAGGGTACACTGCAGGTAAAGTAATTCCCACGGCCGGTCTCTAAAAACCCTCCAAATCCCTTTCGACCCGTCCCATCAACGAGAAAAAAAGATCAGAAATATCCCTCATCCTATCCTGTATCGAGTATCGTGAAGTGATTTTACGAAAGATAACCGTTATATGTTGATTATTCTTAGATTTACATATAACATCCGTATAGCATTATGCGAACGGTTTTTTCTTTTTTTTTTTAGTTTGCTTAAATGGACTTTGAGATCTTACGCAAACAAGACTTTTGGATTTATATAATGATATTACATTATTATCTCTGTATCACAATATTATTATTCCAGATTCATTGCTTGTCTTATAATAACATTTATATTCTTGTCGTTAAAGTTATTTTTAAAACTGATATACCCTGAATATATATATATCTTCGCGTTCGATATATTTATTAATACTAATTTTTGAAATGTTTTAATAGCAAGCAATTTGTTGCATTTTTTTATTAATTGGTTAATTTTTTCGATATACCTTCTTACTACCTTTTATCGGAAAGTACAGATTATTATAATCGCGATGGAACTCAACTCATTTGCATTACATCGCATATTCGGGTACAACAAAAAATCGCGTATTCTCCAATTTCTTTTCCATTCTTTTTTTTTCTCCTTTAATTCCAGGTACTCCGAACCTTACAGAGACCGGTCAACTGTAAATGCCCTCTTATTGTTTAGGTACGGATTATACTCTGTTCAATATTAACGCAGCCCGCCTCTCGGCACGCGCGATGATTGTCCACGCTGTATCCTTAGAATCGTCATCTTGTCGTCGGAAGTCCTTGCGATCGTCCCTCTCTAGAGATCGAAATTGCTTTCTCATTGATAAGCCTTCCCTTTCGACAATCGCGAGTCCAGAGGAGATTGAGAGTCGACTTGATTTTAGCGTACGACCTTCAGCGTGCGGTCGAGTCCGCCGGACGCATTTCGGGGACTCCACGTGCACCCGAAAGTCGCGCGTTCCCAAGATGACGGCTCTAGCGCGCACCTCGATACCTTTTATTCCCGGACCTACCCCCCGAGAGTCCCATCCGAGAATGAATTGTTGACCATTCGCGAGGCAACCCTCGTTCATTCTGTTTCCATTCCTTGCCTCTTTCTTGCCCTCGACGAGCACGAGGAGGGTGAACTTCAAGATCGACGGCATTGAGGGACCAAGGAAGAATCCAAAAATCGAATGAATCACGAAGGTGGCAATTATAAACAACATGGCACGATATAGCAAGGAAATTTCGTCGGACATTGTTAATTTGCTTTTTTTACATCTCTAATACACACATATATGTATTAGAGAGATTTCACAGATTTCACAGATATACTTTTGTTTTCAGGAAGATTTATTTATGTAGATCGTAGTAGAAAACTTCTTGATACTTGGCGTTGTTAGTGCATAATTTTTAATGTATGGTTTTACACAGGTTTTTATACTTCTACAGATTTTTGGTTTTACATATTTTTGTTCGGATTATCATTTTCACAGATATCTGCCTGGATTTTTGCTTCCGCTGATCTTTGATTTCACGATACATCAAATCTAGTTAAACATTTTATGATATTCTCTTCCGACTTTTTTATTACCTTTAAACTACTGACTGCACTTGCATCAAACAGGATGTTGGAAAATGGTTCAGAATTCAAGGTGTTTACAGTACTCACTAACAAAATTATGTTAATGTACATTAACGAAAAATTCATGCAGGATTAATAACAATTTTCATTAAATATTAAAAAGAAACTTTTGACAAGTCTCCAACAATCTTCCATATTCTTAAAGTCAATATAATGCTGAAACTTGGAGTAATGATAATCTATCTCTCTAACATAATTATTTGATAAGAAAAAATCATGAAGAGATTTGAGCAGCTCTAAAGTGACATCGAAACTATCCAACGTTTGAAGATGGGGTGGAGAGGGATGGCGAGGAAAGGAAACAGAAGTGATGTAGAGTGGCAAAATATGTTCTTGTTCCTTCGAGATTAACGACGAGCGGATGAAGGGAGAGAGAAAGAAAGACCGAAAGGGAGAGCGTGTGTGTGAGAGAGAGAGAGAGAGAGAGAGAGAGAGAGAGAAGCTGCGGCGCGGCGATGGGAGGTCGGGCATACCGCGCGGCGCGCGTCTCTTTGGGTTCGCGAATAAAGCTTCTGTAAACTGCATTCTGTTTCTCTAGGCCTGCTACTTGAAGGCAATCGAGACGCGACCTGACTTTGCGGTTGCCTGGAGCAATCTCGGCTGCGTGTTCAACGCGCAAGGAGAAATATGGTTGGCGATACACCATTTCGAAAAGGCTGTTGCCCTGGATCCTAACTTTTTAGATGCGTACATCAATCTTGGGAATGTGTTGAAGGAAGCTAGGATTTTTGACAGGTTTGTTAATTGATAATTTATCAATCATTCTTTTTTTTATTTCTTCAATAATACGAGTCGTGTGGTAATCCCAGGTAGTCTGATCTGTTGAAAACATGTTTTGCAAGGTGTTTGCTACAAATTCCCTCGACGGAATGCCAACGGAAGTATAATTGATTCGGTTATTATGATAGCAGATTGAATGTAGAGATTGAGCAGAATTTGTCGTTTCGTAATCATTAAATGTTACGAAACTCAGATCATGTCAGTAGGTTCTACTGGCGGAACACGAACTTAAAACGTACGTAGTTGATGCCAATCTGCTGTAATATTTTGCTAGAATCTGATGGCTAAACAGGAGCATATTACTAATATTTTACTCATTGAGACTGATATTGTTAAGAAAGAATTTATTTCAAATAGTAAGTGATATATCAATAGCGAAACTTTCATCTATTAGCAACATGATAATCTTTTCTACATTTGTACGTATTTATTATACATTTAATGTATACAATATAAAAATTTGAAAATTAAGTGGGACGATTTGGCACAAGTTTAGCGAATAAAACGTACAATTTAAAACGTCTTTCCATCTCACGTTCAAATCCCGTCATGTTCAAATCAATATTTGTCACGAGAATTTAAATGACTTATAGATTTGTGAAAAATGATACACGAAGAAATATCACACGCACAGTGTTGATCAACCAACGTCTTGAAATTCTCATCGTCGTCGGTTTTAAAGTCTGTGCGAGATTAAAAGTGGCTTTAGTTATTCCATTGATGTACTATCACGTAAAAATCAATGGCAGTCCAAAGCCATACATTCTTTTGTTTTAAGCAATTTTACTATTACTGTTTTCCCTTTTGACACGAGTCAAAAGATATGTAGAACACAAAGATATATTCTGTATATTTTTTTATACACTTGTATTGCAGTATAAATAGTATTTTTGAGTTGTTGAGATTTTTAATTAAAGAGAAAGGAAATATTGAATGGCAAAATTTATATAAGTGGACTTAACATTCGCGTTGCACTTGGAAATAGGCGGGTACGGCGCATGAGCTGTCGAGTCAGCACCGAGGATCGATATTTATGTAACATCCAGATCCTTTTCAAGTTCATCGTCCTCTGCATTCGAACGAGAATTCGGACAATGCACCGTTTCTCTTCAAATGCAATTTTTAAGCACGGAGCATCACGCGCGGTTACACTCGTATTCGCATTAGTTCACAGTGGATTTTAACTATTTTATCAATGTTCCACGTACGTAAAATGCTCTCAATTTTACAAAGGCTTTACCAGGGATCCACATATCTGCGTATTATCACATTTTTATTCTTAATTTCCACATTTTTGCACGTAAATGTGATATGATTGTATAAAACTGCTCCCGTAACACATTTATTTCTTATTCTTCTCTTTAACTACATCTGATGCCTGTTTGCCTATTGATCGTTAAAACTCGTCGAAAGAAATAATAGATATTTTGACGTCTTTTGTAATACTATCTCCTTCCGTCTACGCGGTCGATATTGCCCAATACCATTTTTACATCTAAATGTTTTAATCCTTGATTAATATATTAAAATATTTCGTTATCACGGTTGAGATTAAGGCAATCATAGTAGTACAAAGTAATATTTATTTTTGCGCATCTTATTTTTTAGCTCTTTTCTTATTGGTCTATAATAATATGTATGGAAGTGAATTCAAATAAAAAAACAATTAAAATAAAAGAATCTATAAAATGTAATTGATTGAGACTAATGGATTCGTTAAATGCATTTATCGAGCTCCGAGGGCTCCTCACGCATAAAGTGGGAGGAATTCGAGGACAACTATCGATTCAAACGCCGCTCCGCCCCCATTGGGAGCCCTTCGTCTCCCCCCGTTGTGGGAGGATACGCGTGCCCGTTCAGCTTTCGTTCGCTCGCTCGCCTCGAGTTAAGCGGCTTTCCTCTGGCTGCTAGCATCTCCCGGAGCTGATCCACCTCCCGGGATCCGCACGACGAAGGATCCGCGCTTGTGTAATTCCTGCTTTAACTCCTGCCGCCTAGATATCTGTGTGGATCCTAAGGATAAGTGAATCCTAGATCCACGTGTGGATCCAGGATCTGCGCAGTTCCGTTCTCTCGTGTGATTTTTATTTCAATTCCTGCGCTTGAATAACCAGCGAATCGCAGATCCGCGTATCCAAGGATCCGTACCGAGATGTACCTTTCGTTTTAACGCGCTCATTAAGAATATTGGTGGGCCCAAATTGGTGAAAACGTGAGAGATATAACAATTCTTGTATCTTCAAATTCGTTTATTTAGAAAGTTTTGTATTATGCAATTTCTACAATTTAAGAATTGTGCTTGGAAATATCAAAAAAGATTGGATTGGACCAATGTCGGTTGTCGGAAGGACTGTCCGTTTCTAACAAATTTGCAGTGGCTTCGACATTTTGTGCTTTATAAAAATCCAATGTTCCCGACGCTTTTAAAAATCCTCATTTCCGCGCATCCTGCATGACGTCGTGCTTTTCAAGAAATCCTCCTCCCGAAAATCCTTAGATTCAGGATTCTCTCGCATCCCTGTCTCTAAGGATTTGTTCGCTTAACGTGCCGCGCCGTCAGAGATCCTTCCTTCACGCTCGGATCCGTGGCCTCTGGGATCCGCGGATCCAAGACAGCCGGGATGGGGAAGGAATGGACTGCCAGTGCGTGGTCGTCTATACGGTGATCTCGCCCTCGACCACTATCGCGCCCGCGCTCCGCGTTCAAATAGAGGATACTATCGCGCGACCCTCCACCTATGGATGCGTCTCCTGGATCAGGCGCTTCGTTAAAAGGTTCATCAGACTCGTCTCTGTAGCGCTGGGAGCTATATTAACTAGTTTCTGCAATTATCGATCGAATCGAATAGAAAGAAGGATAATCTTTTCTTTTTATTATAGAGAGAAGTGGGGTTTATTTAATATTATTTAATATTATACCTGACCCCTTTTTCATAAGCTGAGCCTTTACCGTGAAGAACAATCTGAAATCAACGATTGTGCTTTAATTATCAATTGTGTTACAGAGCTGTAGCTGCATATCTCCGCGCGTTGAACCTCAGCCCTAACAATGCAGTTGTACATGGAAATTTGGCCTGCGTTTATTATGAACAAGGGTGAGTTGATATTTCACGTTTGCATTTACAACGGGAATTTACGATAGATTTGACGTAATTTTAGTCAAACAAACATTTACGGTTTTCCGAGAAAAATAAGTAATAGCAAATCCGTGTAATATTGTAGGCTCATCGATCTGGCCATTGATACGTATCGTCGTGCTATTGAATTGCAACCCAATTTTCCTGATGCGTACTGCAATCTGGCGAACGCTCTCAAAGAAAAGGGACAAGTGGTCGAAGCGGAAGAATGTTACAATACCGCCCTCCGGCTTTGTCCCACACACGCGGACTCTCTTAATAACTTGGTACGAAATGATGACATTTTAACTGTAAAAGGATGATTAATGCCGAAAGGATAATTAAATTATGTAGTTTATAAATGAAATGGTTTTTTTAGGCCAACATAAAACGCGAGCAAGGCTACATCGAGGAGGCAACTCGCTTGTATCTTAAAGCCCTGGAAGTATTTCCTGAGTTTGCGGCCGCCCACAGCAATCTCGCCTCTGTCTTGCAGCAGCAAGGCAAACTGAACGAGGCACTGATGCATTATAAGGAAGCAATTCGCATACAACCGACCTTTGCAGATGCTTACTCGAACATGGGAAACACGCTGAAAGAGATGCAGGATATACAAGGCGCTTTACAGTGCTACACTCGGGCCATCCAAATCAATCCGGCCTTCGCTGACGCTCATTCCAATTTGGCATCGATCCACAAGGATTCCGGCAACATTCCCGAAGCGATTCAATCTTACAGAACAGCGCTGAAATTGAAGCCTGACTTTCCGGACGCTTATTGCAACTTGGCGCACTGTTTGCAAATTGTCTGCGACTGGACCGATTACGAAGCCAGGATGAAGAAGTTGGTGTCTATTGTTGCTGAGCAATTAGACAAGAACAGGCTGCCCAGTGTGCATCCACATCATTCCATGCTTTATCCTTTGTCTCACGAGTTTCGGAAAGCTATCGCTGCTCGGCATGCTAATCTTTGCATAGAGAAAGTAAGTCCGCTTACCTAATTCAGTAAATCTTTTTACAGCAATCACACATTCTATTGAGAATAATTAATATTCTATTCTGTTCACTGTTCCATAAATATTTTGACCATCAATAATTACTTACGAATAAATTTATACGTTGCAGATTCATGTTCTTCACAAACAGCCATACAAATACCCGCGTGCGATGAGCATCCGATTGAAGATTGGATATGTCTCGTCGGACTTCGGCAATCATCCGACTAGCCACTTGATGCAATCAATACCTGGCTTACACGATCGTGAGAAAGTCGAGATCTTCTGCTATGCGCTTAGCGCGGATGATGGCACGACTTTTCGTGCGAAGATAGCACGAGAGTCCGAACACTTCATCGATCTCTCTCAGATTCCGTGCAACGGCAAGGCCGCCGACCGCATCAATGCTGATGGCATTCACATTCTGGTGAACATGAACGGTTATACGAAAGGCGCCAGAAACGAGATCTTTGCTTTGCGACCAGCGCCGGTACAGGTCATGTGGCTAGGTTATCCTGGTACCTCCGGCGCAAGTTTCATGGACTATCTCATCACGGACGAGGTCACCTCGCCGTTGGAGCTCGCCAGTCAATACAGCGAGAAACTCGCCTACATGCCGCACACTTATTTCATCGGCGATCACAAGTAAGTAAACTTCTTCATTCATTCGCGAATTTTTTTTAATAGATAAAGATTTTACAAGAACGCAACTATGAAATTTAAAAATTACATAGCTGCGTTCTTGTAAAATCTTATTTCACAAAAATTGTACAATTTGGCTGTTTATTGAAATTACTTATTTCTTCTTAGGCAAATGTTTCCTCATCTGAAGGAACGTTTAATCTTAACGGACAAGTTGAGTCATAAGGGCAAAGTAGCTGACAACGTGGCAGTAATCAATGCCACGGATCTCTCTCCGATGATTGAGAATACTTTGATAAAAGAGATTCGCGAGGTAATTGTGCCAGACGCTAAAAAGCAACCTGTCGAGATCTCGCTCAAAGTTGCCGAGTTACCGACTACCACCCCGATCGAAACGATGATCGCTTCCGGTCAGTGTCAGATGTCCGTGAACGGCGTCGTGGTGCAAAATGGTATGGCCACGACACAGGTGAACAACAAAACTGCCACGGGCGAGGAGGTGCCTCAGAACATTGTGATCACAACCAGGCAGCAATACGGCTTGCCGGAAGATGCTGTCGTTTATTGCAACTTTAATCAGTTATACAAGATTGATCCACTTACTCTTCACATGTGGGCACACGTGAGTAACGACGAAGCAATTTTGTGAAACATTGTACATTTTCACGTACAGCCAAGTTGAATGTCCAACCATTTGATTATAGATATTGAAACACGTGCCAAATTCCGTGCTGTGGCTGCTACGCTTTCCGGCGGTCGGCGAACCCAATCTCCAAGCAACGGCGCAACAATTGGGTCTAACGCCCGGCAGAATTCTATTCAGCAATGTCGCTGCTAAGGAGGAACACGTGAGACGAGGCCAGTTGGCCGACGTATGTCTAGATACGCCACTCTGCAATGGACACACAACTAGTATGGATGTTTTGTGGACCGGAACGCCGGTGGTTACACTACCGGGAGAAACTCTAGCCTCCCGTGTCGCAGCTAGTCAATTAAACACTCTTGGCTGTCCCGAATTGGTAGCGCGAACGCGGCAGGAATATCAAGATATCGCTGTTCGACTGGGTACCGATAGAGAATAGTAAGTATTTCGACATCTAATTGTATAAAGTCTTTTTTTTTCAATAGAATGTAACACATGGAAGATTGACAACGTAATAAACTTTATCTTTTGTTTTCCAGCTTAAAAGCAACAAGAGTTAAGGTTTGGAAGGCTCGATCAGAAAGCCCACTGTTTAATTGCAAGCTGTACGCCATGGGCATGGAGATGTTGTACACAAAAATGTGGGAGCGTTACGCGCATGGAGAAAATCCTGATCACGTTTCAGCTGTCGATAAGAACGACAGTCAAAAGTCATTGAGCATATCTTCTTAAAACACTCGACAACTTGTGTCACAATTATTTACTCAGCTTCAAGTTTGCGATTAACGGTTTCTCTTCCCTGGAAATTTTAGCATTTGCATGGTTAATATATCTATTTCCAATGCGGTCTCATAAATTTTTTGTCTCTACTGACTGTTTTGTATAATGAATTCACGGAGCTTAGATTAGACGATAAAAATATTTACATTTACACAAGATTTCGTATGATACTCATGTTCTATCCTTTTTTAATGATTTTCTTAATGATATTTGCGCGTTCGATTAACAATCAATTCAATCGGATTTTAAATTGACGAAATTATGGAAAGCCGATTTGATTCACACCTGTACAAAATTTAAAGAAGTATTGAAAACAGTAGGAATAGGAAGTATTGGTAAATATTCTCTTACCTCTGTAGAGAAACAGTGTTTCTAATATCTCATTTTTTATTTATGCTTTTCTGCAAAATAATATCTGAATAAAATTATTGGCAGTGGATTTATCGAATTATCAAGGATCGTTGAGAAAAAAATCCTAAATTTTGATGCTCTAAGCTCCAAGAATTTTAGGGAATTGTAAAAAAGTTGGATGTCTTGAAAATTAGACATCAAGAACTTTGAAAGAAGTTAATATGCGAGTTTTTTTTCTAATTTACAATTTTATCGCAAGTTGCATTACTACAAACTGCAATCGAGAATCCACTGTTGCACATTTTGCTTATGTTATTGCAATTAACGCGTGAATTTGACGGTGAACGTGCTCTATCGAAATATCCTCGCTTTCTGTAGGCGATCCTTTAACGCGGAGATACTCTGCGCATGTGATTTGCTGAAGAACGCAGGGATACTTAACAAAGATTAGAGTTAATAGAGTTTTTCCCACATACTTTATCGTTCTCTTTTCGCTATCGCAAAAGTTATAAAGGCTGCAGGCTTTGATCTTCGAGATTTACGACTGTAAAATTTGAAAGTTTGGAGAGACCCTGAGAGACAAAAAGCCAAAAGGAAAAGAGCCAAGGCGTAAAATCGTGTCATTTCAATTTCCAGTAAATCAGGAATAAAAAACGCCAAGGATCCAATAATTCAAACAAAGACTTAAAAATGTCTCCAAATTGAAATATTTTTTTAATCAAGATTTCATGGACATAAAAATAATAAATTGCTGAAGATCTTGGAGATAAAAGAATCGGAAGAATTTAGAGAGAGAGAAAGAGAATGTCAAAAAAATGGATCTAAAAATTACAGATCTCTAGGAGTTTTTTGGTAGTTGAATGCAGAGGCTGAATATCGAAATAGTTTGACAGGTAATCGGTATCACATATACTTCTATTTTCATAAAATGGTAATGTTAAAAGCTTTTAAATATATTCGGTATTTGATGTCTAATGTCAGTAATAATCAAGTTTTTATAAGAATAAAAGTGTATACGATACAATCGTTAACGAGTCATTTCGGTATTCATTCTTTGAAAATCGGGATCCTCCAAGCGTCCGAAGAACGAGGCGTTTACTTATCGGCCACGGACAGCGTATAACACAACTGTATTATATCAAACGACTAATGATAATGTTCATGTAAATATTAAGGATAATTGTTAATTATTTACGTTAGTCCAATAGCGGATGTTGTGCGATTTGTGGTACTGACGAAATGTGTAGAGAGATAAGAAAAAAAAAATATCGGACTGTAGCGAACTGATGTATGTGTAGAGAATAAAAAAAAAAAAAAAAAAACGATGAAACGAAACGATCTTTCACAGTTTGTGCGTTGAGCCTGTGACAGTTGAGACATTCGTGTCGACACTTTTAACGTCAGTAGTGCGATGACCTTAACGATAGTCGATCTCGAGAGCCGTGCCCTCCGAAGGGCAGCGAGTACTAAAGGGATTAAATTGCTAATTAATGTAATAATCGCTCAAGTATAACTGTATTATATTTTCAATACTTATGCTCCGAATTTAAATATAATCCATCGTTGTATTTAATTAAAATTAAATAAATCTGGGTTATGAGAATTGATCACGGCCGGTGAAGTTTATCGTGATTCGAGGCACGCCGTTGGAGAATCGGAATCGCCGAGAGCGGCATTTATCGAGGAATGTGCAATAACTTCATTATCCATCGGATGATTTTGCGTTTACACGCCTACCCGTCCCGGTAAGCGAAATGTTAGCGGTATGCTGATTCGAGTGGAATATTGCGACGTGACGTGAAAACGGAAACTAAAGCGAAATCTGTCCGTTTCACAATCATTTTAATTTTAAAATGGTTCTAACTTGATCTCTGCCATTCATATCTTGTTACTATGGAATCTGTTATATCTATAGCATCTCGTTGACAAAATTTGAAGGGGACCTCTCTTTGCAAAATCTGTTTTACGCCGATTGGCTATTTGGGACACAAAGCATACGTTTTTTTTTTTTTAGTGAACTCGTTCCATTCGTTCAACGAAGTGTCGTTCTTTTTCCCCTAAAATTGCGTTAGCCTTTTGGAGTTTTTTTTTTTATTTAAAAGACCCGTGATTTTATGTTGCAATTAAATGCAAAATTATCGACATTGTTTTCGCAGGAAGGCCATGTTGAAATTGGTATTGTTCTAATGCCGCCAATTTCGGGCAGGTGACGCGCGATCGCAGATCGCATTTCTCTATCGTATATTCAATGGCAGCATATCCGCCCACCGTCGGCGACTATCAGCGTCGCTCTCGATAGTCGCTATTTGTTAAACGTCGGTTATATACGTGGCAGATAAAAGGCATTGCAATATACGGGCGTTTAGATTTCGTTACGTGCGCTTATCGCGCCGCTTGCCCGACGAGTCGTTTCGCGCCTCGAGGCGGTACGCGCGCTTTTGCGGAACGTGATATCTTAAAATTTCAAAGATACTTTTCGTGGAAGAAACATTTCTATCGAAAAGATGATAGTTACGAGAATCTCAAGACGTCTACGTTCCGATTTATGATATCTTTGAGATATCGTTTTAATATATATATCTCTTTGAGGTATCTTAATTGTTTGGAATCGGATGTTCGATCGTAGCGAAGTTAGCGTCAAGTGAAACGCGTTAACTGAAAAAAGATGCAAGAAATGAGCTGAAATCGCTCGATAGATCGATATATCAATAGTTTAACATTTACACAATTTTATTAACAATCTATTTTTTATTTTATTCATGTATGTACATATATATATTTATACACATTTATAATTAGCGACGGGATTAAGTATCTTACAAGTAGATTCGAATCTGTTAGCGTTAGTTTCAAGTTCTATGATTACTTCGGAAAATAAGAGCAGTAGATTCGAACCTGGGCTCGAACCCTCTGAATATTTCGAAAAGCAAAAGTATTACTTCCAAGAGGACCTATGTTCGAATCTTTTATTACATGAGTACATTATTAAAAGAGATATTTTACGTTCTCTCGAAGCGACAATTATTTTGGTATATTATTTTTTGATAATTACAAATATTAGAGTTCGAGTACCACTTGTAAAAGATTCAATTCTTTACAGTATGAATTAAATTACAATATATCGGAAATCGTGTGAATTCTTTGCGCTTTACGTTAAAGTATAATAAATCAGTTTCGATATGCTATGCCTTCGTAATAAATAAAAAAATCAAATCGATCTATCTAAATAGATCCAAGAAATATAGTCGCTTATATTTATCTTGCAAATGCACGTGGGTATAATTCCATTCACATTTCATGTGACCCACATTTTCCGTAAAAATGGGCCGATCAGAATTTCCAACTATTTATTAATCCACAAATCGAAAAAGGAATCTTCCGGTACGCTCGACCGATCTATACTGTCGAATCACCCGCGTGGCGAAATACGAGGAAATTAATGTGTGTACGTGTATATACGCGTTATGTAGTACAAGAGGAAATGATTCATTTTTTGCTAGAAGGCTAGAACATCGCGTACGATTCAACATGGCCGGGGAGAGACGGAGAGGGACCGAGAATCTTAAACGCCAGATTAAAATGACTCGAGCGCCAATGAGTTTCGAAAATGTCGGGAATTAATTTATATATTACGCTTTTCCAGGTCGCTCATCGCTCCACATAAGCTCGATATGCGCAAGTCCCAATTCCTTGCTTTCGGCACACAGGCAGCGGCACTGCGATCGCGTTTCACGCGGCCCTTAGGCGCAGTATCGATTGCCGCCACCTTGCGAGGGTGAAACTGGGTCGCAAGTACCCTTCTCCCGCAGGGAGCAGTCGCTCGCTTTCCTCCTCCCCCCCGTGCCCGTCATTTTACATAAATTCTCTCGCTCTTACCCCCTCGGCTCAATGTTAAACTCGTGCCGCTGCAGCTTTGGCCGATAATAATCAGAACAAAATGCATCTTTAATAATATTCCATTCGGGATATCTCCGATATATTCGCGTTGCATATCCCGTCGCTTCGTTTTTATGCCCTCGAGAGAGCAACTTTTTTTTTATTTGACATGCTGTTAAATGACGAGTGATTATTTATATGAATGTCAGGGACTCGTCCTAGATTCTAAATAGACTCCACGCGTCTCTATATGTATGCATATACATGTGAATGTATACGCATATATACATACACTCGCGCGGCCCATTTACCCTCTTCTCTCTTACTTGTATATTTCATTCCCCCTCGCCTCTCTCCCATTTTCCTCTTCCTTTCTCTCTTCTCGCAGTGTGGCAGGCACAACAATTTTCCGAAATTAACATCACGCTCAAATTGAATTGATTTGCAATTGCAATGAAGAGAAGGCTATAAATGTCTTGCTAGTCTTTACGGCAGCTTTCTCGAGTACGAGTTACAAACATGTGTTTATATAAAATAATAAAAAGAATCCATAAACTCTCTATGCCCACGTTAATAATGCGTGCTTTCAAGAAGAAAATTGTCCGATTTCTCGCTTCGAGTTACGCCATTGAGCTCATTCTCTATGTACCCACTTTGTCCCTATTTACATATTCTACTATTCTACCCGCAGCTTATCCATTCCCCGGAACTTCTTGGTCTTCAGTGTCACGTGGATAGGCCAGTAGGCTGTTAGATAGCCGAGCGCCTCTCGCCCCTCCGCGCCGCGCCGGCGGGGTAGTTCGCTCGCGTTTGCGTTCCGTACCTAGGAGGGTTGCCAGCGGATAAGGGGTGGGGAGAAGGGGGCATCTTTGACATAAATAATCAGTAGTGGAGTACCGCGGTGCCGGTCTGGTCGCCATAGCAACGGCATCGATCGAGGCCTACCAAGAGGTCGAAGCTGAGCTACCCTTCTTTTTTTTTCTTCTTCTCCCCTTGCTATATCTCACTTCGTGATCCTTCTCCCGCTCTGCTCAATCCGTACAGCCGATATAGGGCCGGCTCTTCCGCTCTGCTTTCTTAACAATTCGCCTCAGCCGCTTCCGCTTCCTGTTCGTACGTCTTATAGCCAACAAGGACGGCCCCATGGATTGCTAGCCGTTTTTTAAATGTTAATTTCGGCAATATCGCTTGTTAATTATACGCGGTACTTTAGAAATGCGTGCGCGTGTGTAGATTATCTTTTTTACATGTTATTTAAGTTGTTAATAGCTGTGGAAAATACTATTCTTTTCCGAAACAAGATAAAGCAAAAAGGGCTTAAAAGAACAGTATTTTATAATAATATCAAGTTTTTTTAAAATAAAATGTAAAAGGCAAATGTTGAAGAAAGTAAGAATGTTAGTAGTCTAAAATAATTTTATTCAACAGCTAACTTACTGAATTAAAAAATGACGCAAAATTATGTTATTGCTGTCAGCTATAATACTTAACGTCCTGCAGACGCTTAGTGAAGAATACAATAAATGAACTAAATCGAGAGTGTCGAAGAGAGTCTTGCTGCAAGAGATTAACGAATATTTCAACTGGAAAGTTTTCTTCGAGGTGTAAAATGTGTCTGTAGGTAGAAATATATCAGAATGAAAACTGGGTCTTGCCTAGTAACCTACTTTACTATATTTTCGAGTACGTCGAATCGATATCCCGTTTTATTGGATGTATGTACATATATATTACATATACATATATCCAATGTATATACGTACAAAATATACAT